GGCTTTTAAAAGTGCATAATAGAATGTTGGGGTTTGTTTTTTTCTCTTCTCAGTATTGTGGAGGGGTGGTGTTTTAAGATAAAAAAAATCAAAGTTCAAGGTCTTTTAAGTAATGACTTTTGAAGCAGAGAAGGGCATGAGAGAAGCAGTAAGCTTCAATAATGGGATATGGACAGTGCTAAATAAATTTAATTTTAGGATAGTTCTAGTTGTAGAATCATTAAGATTGGAAAAGGCCTTGCAGATTGAGTCCAACTGTGAAGCCAGTGCCAGCATGTTCACCACTAAACCATGTCCCTAGGTCCCACACACCTTCTGAACACTTCCAGGGATGGTGACTCCACCACAGCCCTGGGCAACCTGCTCCAATGCCTGACCATGCTTTCTGTGAAGAATTTTTCTTAGTATTTAATCTCATTTTTAGCATTTTAGAATATAAGTACATATATATGAAGTCTAAGACAGTTATGATAATTGAGAGCAAAGCATGCAGGTATTTATTTCAGTAGTAAATTTAATAGGTTTAAGTAGCTTACAGTATGATTCAGTTCCCAGATAAACAGCATAAATGCTGTGAAGCTGAGCAATGTGGCAGAAAGAAAATGTAGCTAGATAAATACCTAAATTGGTGTCCCCTTGTGTTGCAGCCTTTTGTTTAACCTTTGCCATATTCTGAACAAACGTACTTTTCTTCAATATATCTACTCTTTTGAAAATCACATTTGAGCAAGTCTTTCTTTTTCCCTGTAGTGCTTTGCATACAGTAGCATCAACTTGTTTTATTCTTAGAAAATTGTTTCCTTTTTCATACAAAAGTCCTGCTTTGTCTGGAACTGGTTTTGAATGATGGCATAGACATTGTTTGGTTGGGCTTTGTCCCAGATTTAGTAACAGTTTTGGATGCTTAACAGAATTCTGTGGGACTGGTTAAGCTGAGTGATATTTTGAGGATCCTTTGAGGCTTACAAAACATTGCCTTCTAGCCTGATGAAGTTGTTCGGCTCATATATTTTCTGTTATTGCACACCTGTGTATTTTAGCTGTGGCTCTTGGAAGGCCACCTGAATACACGTTGTCATGGTTACTTTATGCTGATAGACTTCTCACTGAGAGAAGGACAGGGTGGAGAAATGGCAAGAAGTTGCTTCTAGTTTCTTGAATTCAAATGACTCTGAAGTTCTTTGTAAGCTTTATTGCAAAATGCTCTCTTCAGTAGTTCAGATGTATGTTTATGTCCGGGTGCACGTGTGGAATTGCAATTGTAAAGATAATAGGAGTTTCAAGGTGTTTCTGTATATCTTACTGTGCTGTGCTAGTGCAACTGTTCCTAATGCTTCTTGACCAACCTGTCAATTAATAATATTGTTTAGCATCTTATGTCTTGTGAAACTGCCTGTGTACTTCATTAACATGCTTGTATTTTCATTTTTCTTAAGTGTTTGAAGATGCAGATCTGAAGCTAGTCATCCCATCTGCTCTATTTGCCGCTGTGGGAACAGCAGGTCAGAGGTGCACAACTGCTAGAAGACTGGTGAGTAGTTGTGTATTGTCTGGTTTGGGTAGCTCTGAATTTAAACTGAATTCCAGCTTGGTCAGAAAATGCCTAGCAATTCTCAGTATTATGGAGAGCAACAAATAATGTTTGAAACGCATTTTTACTTTGTCAAAAATAAGCATGATGGGAAAATGAGATCATAGTTTGATTCCACCGTAATTTTAACTCTAACCAGTTTCTTTCTATGTGTTTCTAAATGTACCTGGTGCTAAAAGCCAGGAAAATAATATTTGGAATACTTCTGTATTTCTCTCTGTGTTCATTGCCAGAGCTTCTTTGCTTGTGACTGCTACACATTTTGGTGTGGGGTTTAGATTTCAGCAAGTAAGGGGAGGTGTGTTGTTTACTTTGTTATTAATTTTTAACCAACAAATTTCAACAAGTTTAAAGGTGTTAGTGTCAGCCAGTGTTTCTATAGATTTTTCAGTGCTGGGTTGATTGGGTAAATATTACTCAAAATTGTTGCAGGTAATTGATTTGGGTGTGTTGGAAGGGCAGTATTTCCTTCAATTGTAGCAATAAAATTACTTGTGTATTTGTCCTAAAACACTTAGCTGAAGCATTTACAGAACACATTGATACCATTGATCTGTTGGGGTATAAGTAAACAGTTTTTTATTTCTTTGCTTCTTTTACATCTTCATTGTCTAGTGTGGGTGCTGTTTTGAGGCTTTACTCTGTGTTTATTTTTAAATTAGTGTTGCTCATATTCAGCAAATCCCATTCTCCACACTTTATTCAGCCCTTTTCAAACTGCAGCAGTACTTCTGAAGAGTTACATCAACTGCGCTGTCTTATGACTTTTCTTACCACATTTTAGTTTCTCCATGAAAGCATCCATGATGAGGTGGTGGCAAAGCTTGCTAAGGCCTATGCCCAGGTCCGCATCGGTGATCCATGGGAATGTAAGTAGCTAATGCCAACTCATGGGTTTAGGAGACAAGTTTCTGTTTGTTTCTTTCTGCTTGAATTCCAGAGGGATTGTAGATCAAAACTATCTAATTTTAGCAATTTAGCTGGTTTGATTTAGAATACAAACTCTGCAGGGAAGATGAAGAATCTGGCTATTACTGTTCATCTTGGTCAGATTAAATAATTAGTCTCAAAATGACATGATAAGAATATTTGCAAACATGCACAGTTTTGCTGGAAGTGTGCCTTTGAATCTTTTGTTCTTTAGCTGACACTCTGTATGGACCTCTTCATACAAAAGAAGCAGTGAAAATGTTCCTTGACGCGGTAGAACAAGCAAAACAACAGGGTGGCTCTGTGGTCTGTGGTGGAAAGGTGACTTAACTTTTATTTTCGCTTCTACATTTCATGCTCTAGGAGAAAAATGAGAGTAACATGGTGGCTTAGGCCAAGAGTGTACCTCAGTTTGTCCTATCAGCCATTACAGGATGTTAGTCAGTCTGAGAATGTTTGAATTGGAATCCCGTCTTCAGGGTACAGGTGATTCTACTTGGAAGCTACCTTCTCCTCCAAGAAATGGCTAAGAGCTTTTGGCTCTCACTTACACCACTCCTCAGTTGCAGGTGATGGTGAAAATAAAACCAGCAATATAAATGGTGAATGTCAGACAAATAACAAAGGAAAATTGAAGTTCTCTTCCTAAACCCACAATATCAAACTTCAGGAGATACTGAAGATTCAAGACAGCCACTCGCACATCTTCATTATGTGGGATGTTTAATTCTCATTGACTTAACATTCTGGGAATTCTTGCTTTTCACTGTCATCTTCTTTATTCTTGATACGTTTAAAATCCTAATCAGCTTACAGATAGGAGAAAGGTGTTTTTTTTGTCTTAGCTGCTAGACTTTGTGATTTGATTACCTCCCTAGTGGACATAAGTTATGCTTCTGTATTTTACATACTTTCACAAGTAAAATTGAAATTACCTGCTCAGATTATATGACTTGTTTCTGATTGCTAGGCACAACTGTAGTAGTCAGACCATGAAGGATTTCCTTCCTACACTAGTGCTAAGCTGGATGCTGATTTGAATTTACACAGTTGTTTGTGTTTTGAAGGTTATAAATCGCCCTGGAAACTACGTTGAACCAACCATTGTGACTGGCCTTCCTCATAATGCACCCATTGTCCACACTGAGACATTTGCTCCCATACTGTATGTGTTGAAGTTTAAGGTAAAATAACAATGGGGGGTTACTTGGGTGTCAAGGATGCTTGTCTGTATGTCTGTGTGATTGTCCCAGCACTTCAAGAAGTGGTAACTTGTTCTGCACTGTGAGATATCCACCGTAAGAGCTCACCTCATAGTGTAGCTACATTTATGCATGTTATGTGAAGAGCACTGGAGTTAAGATGAGTCTGTACAGGAGTAGATTTCTGTTGTTCACATTCTGTTGTTGATGTTGTTCATATCTGTTCAAAAGCAGAGAGTGTGTTTTGTGCAGCGATGGAGGTATTGCAGATGTGTGATACATGTGTGTTTGCCCAGTGGCATTCAGTACATTTGCATTATGGCTGTGTTATGTTGGGTTTTTCTCACAATGCTTCTGTGTAACTGCTTTGCTTTGAGTAGTCATGGCTTAACCACTGGCACATTTTCCTTATAGGAGGAAGAGGAAGTTTTTGCCTGGAATAATGAAGTAAAACAAGGTCTTTCCAGCAGTATCTTTACCAAGGATTTGGGAAGGATTTTCCGCTGGCTTGGGTATAATATAAATTAGTTTTTTACTTTCCTGAGGCATAAGATTAGTCTTTCATGTCTTTTTTTAAACCTGTGCACAATGCTAGTTAAGCGTTTTATAGCCCTCATTTTAGGGAAGGAACCTGTCCTGATCCTAAGGAGGAATTGTGTCTTATCTCTGTCTGCAGGCCAAAGGGATCTGACTGTGGCATTGTGAATGTTAACATCCCAACCAGTGGAGCTGAGATTGGAGGTGCCTTTGGTATGTTACTTATGCTTTTTTTTTCTTTATCCTTTAAATGGTAAAATCCTCTATCGTTTGGTCTGGAGACTTGGTATTGTTCCTCAGGCTCATTGTTTTGAAAGCTTGGGAAATTATTTTTCTAACAACTCTGAAAGATCATAAAGCGTTACTACTGTAAGACTAGTCTCTTCATCTAATTTTTCAAGGTTTTAATCAGTCTGTTTAAATTACTAAATACGAAGAAATCAGTGAAGTTAATTTTGAATTACAGTGCTTTAACAGAAGAGAGAAATTGACTAGAGGTAGTTGGATTAAAACTTTAAAAAATATCTGTAATTATTTTTAAAAATTCCATGTATTATTTCCTCCCATGCCCCTGTCAAAGGAGATATATATAACTCAGAGATATGTTTTGAATGTGTTTAGAGATATAGCCAGGTGGAAAACTGTTTAAAATAGCTTGTAATTAAAACCATCTTGAACATCTTTGTTGTGTAAGTTTGCATGTTTACATAAAAATTACATCCTAAAGTATTTTTGTGAGAAAGTCTTTAAATAAACATTTTTGCCTTTATTTGTCTATTTTGTATATAGTGAAGGAAGTGAGGGGATGGAAGAAGAAATAGTCACCTTATCATTCAAACAGTACAAGAACTAGCACATTCTTGTACACTTGTTTCATGTTAAGACAAAATATATTTACAAAAAGGTCCTCTAGAGCCAGCATGATGAGACTTTGAGCTCCAGACAGGTACTTCTCAGATCAAGCATGAGGAGAGACCTAGCTGTGTGTGTTGTGTGGTGTGGTGTTCTGGTCATTTAGTTCAGATAAAGAACAAGGGCAAAGGAATAGATTTTCCCATGAATTTTTGTAAAATGTCTCACCTTCTGGAGTTAGTCCAGATTCCCATGCTTCAAAGAAACCAAGCTTTCATTTATAACTTTTTTCCTACAGGTGGTGAAAAGCACACTGGTGGGGGAAGAGAATCTGGAAGTGATTCATGGAAACTTTATATGAGACGGTCTACTTGGTAAGACTCACTTTTTAAAATTCCAAATACATGTAAATTACAGATAAACTTTCAAAAGTTCAAAACATAAATCCTTGACTACAGGAGACTATTTTTGCCGAGTTGGATATAACCATCTGTGAGTGTAATTGCCTTTTCTTCTAGCGGAAGATGATTTGAAGGGTCTTTATAAAGACCTTTCCTTGCTCACCATTCCTCAACAGGAAAAAAAAACCTGTTTTTTTCACCCTCTTGCATGACTTTAAACTCAGCTAAAAGTTAAATTTCTGAAACTTGTCAGGAAGTATTAAAAGTGGTAACCACAGTGAGGGGACCACTATTGCCACTGGCGGGTGATTTTAGTTTTGGGTATCTATCCATAAAATATCCTGACAGCCCATAGTGGTTGAGCACACTCTCTGCTTGCCTCCGTAGCCTTAATCTGTGCTAATTTTAGTTTCCATGCAAAGGCTTTAGAGAAATCCTACCTTGATTTTTTTTCAATCTGGACATTCTCCTGGTAAGAGATTAAATAAATGAAAGAGAAATAGATTCTCTGTCAAGGAAGAGATAATGGGGAATGTGGTCTTTCCCTGTACATATGTTGAAAACTGGAGTAAAGTCAGGTCATAACTTTAAATGGACAAACTACTTACAGAAGTCTTTTGTTTACATGTGACAGAAATCAGAAGTCTTGTACGTAGGAAGTGGTCTGCATAATCTGTCTCAGTGATTAAGTCTGGTCTCTAAATACTTGTTTCTCTTCCAGTACAATCAACTACAGCAAGGATTTGCCTTTGGCTCAAGGAATCAAGTTTCAGTAACAGGCTTATGAACGGCCGTGCTATGAACTCTCCTAGCATTTTGGAATCAAGCACCTTCTAAGCCTCTTGGGGATAAAAATTTATTACCTGAAACTTACCTGCAGCAAAGATACCAATTCTGTTAGATAATCCGCTGTTCTAAAATTGCTTCACTTTCAATGTATGAAATTAATGCTTCAGTCTTCAAATCAGAAGTGTGTAGTCTTTGGGAAGAAGGGAGGGTGACTGAAACCAGCAACCTACTATTCCTGTGGCCTTGATAATGTGTTGCCTTACCACTGTACTTCAGTACCAATACTGTACCCCTTGCTTCTCTGCCATTGCTGATATTTCCAGCTACTAGGTCTGTGCTGCAAACCCTATGCTGTGTTTCCTGCATATAACTGGTGCTGTGGTGGATGGGCAGTACAGGACTGTTTTTCAATGCATAAATAAAGATACATTTTGTGAGACCTCAGGATTCTCAATTGTTTTATTCATTGTTTTGGAGCAGGAACATACAGCTGATTGTCTGTATTCACACACTGAGCTACTAGTTGGAAGAAGAATCATTGGGCTAAAAGGACTGCTTTAGTTTTCCTGCCTCTCCTTCAGAAAGGAGACTTTCACCGTACATGTTGGGAGATATAGGGTAAGACCAAGGGCTACTCTAGTCTCTTGAAACATCTCTTAACACTAGGAGGGGTTACAGCCAGTTCAGGTTGTCACAGATCTTATGACACCCTACAACCAAACCAGCTGAAGAACTGGAGATGCAGTCAGGAGGGAATGCTATTCCAGAGGAAATTTGCCAGTGAAGGGCAAATGGTTTACGTGTGTTTCACCTCATATGGAAGTTTCACAGAATCACAGAATTGGTCAGGTGGGAAGGAACCACAGTGTGTCATCTGGTCCAACTTCCCTGTACAGGCAGGGTCATCCAAGAGCACATGGCACAGGGTTGCATCCAGGCAGTTCTTGAGTATCTTCAGGGAGGGAAAATGCCTGACCTTTCTGGCCAGTCTGTCCAAGTGCATGGTCATTTACACAGTAAAGAAGTTCTTCCTCATATTCAGGTAGAACTTCTGTGCATCAGTTTCTGCCCATTGCCTCTTGTCTTGTTGCCTGGCACCATCCTCCTGACACCATCCCTTCAGATACTTAGAAATGTTGATAAGGTCCCTGTCGTCTCTTCCCGAGGCTGAACAGGCCCAGCTCCCTCAGCCTTCCCTTGTAAGACAGATGCTCCAGTCCTTTAATCATCTTCACAGCCTTCTGCTGGACCCAGTCCAGGAGCTCCATGTCTCTCTTGTGCTGAGGAGCCCAGAACTGAACAGCACTCCAGGTGAGGTCTCACCAGGGCTGAGCAGAAGGGCAGCTTCTTGTGGCTGTTGGAGACTACAGACAACAGCAGCTCATTTAGGAGCCTTGATCAGGATGTGAAAAGGCACAGGCTACCAGGCTGATTATAGCTTTCCACAAAAGAGCTTCTGATGTTTTGAATGTATCATTTTTTGAGGAATTCTTTTTCACTTCAATTTTCCAAATTTTTGCTATCTCTGATCATGGCAGAATTGTTCATTTTAGGCTCAGGTTCTAGGAGTCTGATTTGACTTTTGATTTATTTTGATTATAAGAGCAGTGCCATCCAAACTGCATTGAAGGTCCACCACAGCACAGTGCTAGCTGGTGGTCTTTCACCTTACTATCTAGTTTTAAAATGCATGGTGTTTAGAATTTTTCATCTGTTTTATAGAAGGTAATTTGGGTGTCACTTTCTATAGATCAAACATTAGGCAGCCAAAGCTTTTCCCTACTGAGTCCCTTAGAGCCAGGTGAACTCTCTCTAGTTCTTTGTGCTTGGCCATTTAACAAGGAAGCAGATTTCATTAAAGAGTGTTGTATGTTAGCACACAGAAGGAACTGATGTCCCCTAAGCAGACAGATAAATCACTAGCAAATAGGGCAATGAAATATTCCAATTCCCAAACTCTCCACAATGAAAAATAAGTTCAAGAATTCTCTTTTCCTGCTGCTTATTAATAGATTTTGGATAGCCTTATGTCAAACCTGTTGTTCTCAGAAATAAAGGGTCTTTTTTACTCTTTCTGGGTAAAATAATTTTGTAAGTCCAGTAGTTTAATCTACAGGAATAAGGTTGATTCTGCCATCTGGCTTTAGATGCATGAAGGCAGGTTATGAATGGAACAAAGATGGGACAACAAGTCTGATGTTTGGCTGGTGTTCATTATCTGAAAATTAATATGGATGGAAAAAATGTAGGACTGTGATCAAGACGGTGACTGTATAGCTAACATGCTAAAGTTTTTTTGAAAGGTTAACTTGATGTTTTGATAAATAACAATCCCTTCTTCAAGCTGGAGAAGTTTTACAGAGGACTTGGCTGATACACTTGTGTAGCTACTTCTGTATGGTATTACTAAGCATGTTAGATCCACTTGATGTAGGCAGACAGTGAGATCTCTCTGTAAGCAGATGACATATTTATCCTGACTTTTGCCAAGTATGTGAAATATTATTCCAAAGAGTCTGTTATTTGCATTGTCATTGTACTTCTAGGATGGCATTGGAGCAGGTAATCATAATGCTTCATCTGCTTTCCAGACAGCTTTGAATTCCATACATGATTTTTGCAGTTTGCTTCTCTCCACCCTTCTATTTATATAGTTATTTGTTGAAGAATCTTACCTGAATTGACTAGCTGAATGACTTCCACTGAAGCGACTCTGGGGAGAGTGTCTTTTAAATACAGCTGTAGATTGTAATATGTTTTGGCAAGGATTTAGCTGCCTATAAGCAGTTATGGTTATGATGAAGTAATTAAACTAAGGAGGTTTAAAGATGCTGTAAGCACCCAGTTTCACAACTCATCCTTTAATTTGCAGTGTCCACTCAGAATATTGTAAACTGCATTAGCTGTCTGTGGGTTACCTCACCCAAGGAAAGCAATTTTGAGAATTCATAAAATGTGTCTCGGAGTTATTGGTATGTGCAACATACTGGAACTTGCAGTTTTAACACAAATTCTATTGGTGTCTTCCACTGTTGCATAAACTTAATTACCACTGAGTGTGTAACACCAGTGAATAACAAGTGTTAAATGACACGTGATCAATAATTCATTTGTTAGCACAGTATTCCTTACTGTGAAATGACCTTAATGGTAACAGTCTTGCAAGTAGCTTCCTTTCTTTTAGCCACATTACTATGCCAAAGAAAAATGAAAATTCTACTAATGTAATTTTTACTGATAAACAGAGAAATTGCTTTTTTTCATGAAAATGTGAGCTGCAGGTTGCTTCTCCTCTGTTCTATTGTATCCTACCAAAGTTTCTCATTGCAGGCAACTGTTTTCAGGAACCAAGAATACTTTCCAGTAGTAGGTCTCAGTTTAGGACCTTGCTAAAAGCAGTCCTGCAAAGCTGAATTTTAAACAACCAGGAAGGTGTTTACTGTCATCTTTCAGTACTAACATCCTTATTCATTCATATTATATCATGTTGTTTTCTTGTGGTATTTGCATCATTCTGTTTATGTGTTACTGCTGGATGAGTTCAAACCCACTTGACTGCTAGAACTCTTAATTTGTGGCACAGCTATCTATGTTTCTGTATGAGAAATCACATACACACTTGCTGCATTCAAGACTCATCATCCATTCATGCCTCTGCATTAAATCTCAATAGGAATTATGTGAAAAAATGTAAATTACAAGAGACCTCTTTGCCTGGATTGTCTTCTGAATCACTGCCCATTTTGGTGCTGCACTAAAGTGTTGGCCATGTATTGCACAAGTGCATACTCTTATTTTTCTAGGTGGAATAGGGTAAAATTTTTGGAAGCTTATACACGGGTATAATGACTTAATCACATAGAATCAAATTCAAGAGTAAAAACAATGGCTTAGCAATGACTTTTTTTTTGTGTCTTCTGTTTGGTATCCCTTACCAAAAAAACATGCTGCCATTTGCTACACGCCTGGTGTTTGAAGACTAATGGATTAATTACATTCAGTTTGCAAACTTCTGCTGGCACTGAAGTGCTGCTCGCAGCAAAAAGTGCGTTGTCTCACCTTGCATTTTGAACATGGATGTCTGAGGATAGCTGGTAGAAAGACACGTACTTGTTCAGAGTCTTTCATTTCTGTTAAATTATTAGCACTGATTTTCCACTGAAAGCTCATTGCTTTTCTCCAGACTAATAGAGAAGTGTGCCTGGATTTTGGGACAGGGGCTTACACAGTAAAGCCTAGTGGAGCCTTTTTTAAACTACTCGTGTTCTCCCGGTGTCGCTGTTGCATAGGCTGAAGCCTGCCACAGGGCTGCCTTCGCGTTTGCCAGCCAGCTGTGTAAAACACAGACCTCTTTGTCTGAATGTCTTTTATGTTGTGCATCTGGGAGCGCTGCTTCTGAGCTGATGTTTAAATACACTTTATTTTGAAAAAGTCTCAGTTGATTAGTGCAATTGTTACATAAAGCATTAATTCCAAAAGCCAGAGGATAAAAATAATAGTGTTTCAGCCAGGTACTCCTTTTCAGAGAAGAATAAATGGTTTAATACATACTTTACCCAGTAAGCTGCTGTTCTCTGGCCTTATGGCTCTTTTCCTGCTGCCTGATTTCAACGTGAGCTTAAGGGGAACAAAAGTACAAGGTAGGTCTCTGAACCTCAGGGGAAAGCATATCCTTTCATTGAAGTCTGGAAAGCTGGCAGGCAACTGGTGGCAATTGTGTTTTGCACTTCCCTGACACTATCCTTACAGGTGTCTCAAACCTCTTTTGATGTGGTAGTAAAGTTTACATCTCTCCCTTGCTTATTTGGGGTAGTGTTGTTGAGGTAATGAAATGACAGCATGTGAGTTTAAAAATGGGAGATTGAGTAAGAACAGAGGATAAATATAATCTCTCTCCCTCCCAAGGCTTTTATTTAATCCTCAAGCTACTATGAAGTGTCTATTGTCTCCTATGTTTTGAGGATTTTAAGAGGCTACTTACTCACTGGCCTGTGAATTAGACTGACATATAATAAATCTTGCAGTCCAGTGTGGCAGCCACACTTGACAAGTATGTAAAAACTTCAGAACATAACTCTTCATTGAGTAGTATTTCTTCTAACTACATTTTTTCCCACAATTACTGGTATTTTTATATTAACATATTTATCACAAGTAGCATGCAGATTCTGATAGAAGCCTGGAATATAAACCTTCTAGCTATAT